GGAGACCCTCGGGCAGCCGGGCTCTGGCCCTTCGCCTCTGTGCTGCCGTGGGGCTCGCGCCCTGGGGTGGTGGGGGGCCACAGATACGCACGAGCCTGGCAGTCTTGTCTCCGCAGATCCCACCTGGCTGTCCGTTAACCTGGGCGTTCTGATCTGCATCGAGTGCTCTGGAATTCACCGGGAGATGGGTGTGCATCTGTCCCGCATCCAGTCGCTGGCCCTGGACAAGCTGGCGACCTCCGAATTGCTGGTAGGACACTGCCGGTGTCCTCGGGCTTCCCCCTGCTTCTGCTGCAGCCTGCCTGAAATGAAGTTAATTTAGTCGTTTTTTCACCCGTTGAACTGACCTGTGCCCACCTGTAATTCCCAGGTTTTAGTGGTTATTGTGGCAGGAATTGTTATCTTCAGGGAGGAGAGCAGGGACTCATTTTGCTGCTGCTGAGTCACCCGTCTCCCTCAGCCCTCTCTCCCCATCTGCATCCCCTGGCACAGGGGAGATGTGGGGCAGGGCCACGCTTGACCTGGGGTAGAGCAGAGTGTGGGGCAGGCAGGGGGCTGGAGACGGCGTGTGGGGCTGTTTTAGGGCCACGAAGCTCCAGGTGCTCGTGGGTTTGATGGGGCTGTGGTGGGAGCTGCTGGTGGGCATCAGGGCAGGGGATGGGAGCGTCTGGCAGGGATCATTGCTTGCCCAGGGCTCAGCTCTGGAGTTGGTTGCACTGCTGGAGTGGGGAGATCTCAGTGGCAGGAGTCCGGGCAGAGGCTCCAGCACTGGGCACACACATGCTGGCACCCCTGGGTATCTCCTTGATACCTGGTCAGGACCTCAGCCTGGAGCTCCCTGTCCTGCTGCCACACGAGTAGAGCTGCTGCAGGTCCCAGGTCACCTCTAGCTTGGCTGTTTTGCAGCTGGCGAGGAATATCGGCAACTCTGGCTTCAATGACATCATGGAAGCGAATCTCCCCAGCTTCTCCCTGAAGCCCACAGTGCACAGTGACATGTGAGTTGCTCCGCAAGAGCTGTTCTTTTGTGGGAGGTTAGATAGGGGGTCCTCACCCACGGACACACGTCTGCAGTCCTGTGTGCTCCCTGCAGCGACCAAACATTTGGCACTGCCCAGTCTCCTCCCCAGACCAGAAGTTCTCTTTAGAAGCAATTTCATCAAGCCCAGCAGGAAAGGTTTGATGAAGGAGAGCAGAAAAATGAGGAAGAGCCAGCAGGACAGGTCAGGGATTGCCCTCGAGGTCAGGACGAGGACTGAGGAATTGGTACTGGAAAGGGAAAGGCAAGAAGAGAAATATTAAAGCCCAAGGGGAGATGCTGAAGCAGGATGGCCGTGCCTGCACATCGGCAGGGTGGAGTGGGATGGGGGCAAGGACCTGCATCGTGCAGAAAAGTTCATGGTGTCCAGCAGCTGGGGCCCAGGGTTGATGGGATCAGCGCAGGCATCGAGCGAGGATCTGCTGAGGATGCAGGAACCCCCGTCCTTCATCCTGGAGCCCGCAGCCTCTGGGATCTGCAGAGGACGGGGGAGAGCTGGGGTGGTGTGGCTGGTACCAGTGATAGCTGGGGGCTGCTCCAGGGCTTAGTGCTGTAAACTTGGGGTGCAGCAGAGCTCTCGGGGGAAACATATAGCTGGGCAGCTTCTCGTCAGTGCTGAGGGGACCTTCAGGAGGCTGGAGAGCAGGCAGGCCAGGCACGATGAGGTTCCATTAAAGGTAAGTCCTGACCAGGGCACTGTTTAGACCATTCACCCTGCAGTGAATAGGTGGATGGGGAACTGCCCTTGGCAGGGAGGGAGCAGCATAGAGCTGGGAGAGCAGGAAAATACAAGGGGAACAGCGTGTTCAAGATCCACGTTGCCAGATCCACCCTTCCAGTTGGAAGCTGGGGACGCTGAATCTGCATGAAATTAATAATTCAGCACTTCCTCAGTGGCCTTTTCTGTTTGGAGCACTCTTTTGCCCCTGGGGCACCTGCAGCCGCCCCAGATCCTCTGGCCGGCCACTGCTTCTGCTGTTCTTGACCCCTCCGGGGGATGAGTCACAGCTCTCTCAGCCATCCTTGCCTGGAAGCTGTTCCTGACCCATGGATATGCTTGGCCAATTCATGCCATGTGTTTTTCACAGTCCTTGAGATTTCTGCTCGTTCCCCTAATTCTCGCAGTCAGGGAGCCGAGCCCAGCACTGAACAGTGAGGGCAGAGGGGTCCAAGAGGCAAAGAAACGCCCAGGGCTGGGGAGGAAGGAAAAGGAAGGGAGAAGAGAGCAGAAAACATCACCACGATCGTATCTAAATCCCCAGGGCACCCCTGAGCGTCTCCCACTCGGGAAGGGTGGAGGGGTCAGGGCTCCTCACCCTGGAGCAGAGACGATGGAGGGGGTTCTGGAAAGCCACGAGTGCCTGGGAGAGGGGGAGAGGCACGGACCTTTCCCTGTCTCTCCCAGCACGAGACCTTGGGGTGTTGGATGAAGGCGGTGGGATCCCTGCTGGAAGGAGAGATGGGGAGCTGGTTCTTACTCCCCGCGCTGGGTGCAGGGTCCTCGCCCCAGCCATGGCAGCGCTCACACTTTGAATGCATGAATGTCAAGTTGTCATTTAACTACGTAACTGCAGCAGAGGCAGCTGTAAGAAATCCACAGTGTTCTGTTAAAGTTGTTATGAATATCGAATTATGAATTATGAACGCTGCTGCAGAGGCGTTTGGGGGATGCAACGGAGAGAGAAAAGAAGCTAAAGAGCCTGGCAGGTCTGCGGGAGCGGGAGGGACGGTGGCTGGAGCAGCAGGGGAGGGGGGCTTTTCCCTGGGATGCTCTGCGGCCGCTCACTCTCGTTCGGCCAGGGTCTCTCACTCTGTCTCTGCCAGGGCCTTTCGGAAAAATTTCATCATCTCCAAGTATATCGAGAAGAAATATGCCAAGAGGAGCGCTGCTGCTCGGTGTCCTGGCCTCCCAGAAGCCGTCAAGGACAAGGACATATTTTCTTTGCTCCAAGCGTACGCAGAGAACGTGGATTTGAGCGAGCCGGTGCTGGCACCTCTGCAGGTATGGCCACTCCTCCCGTGGGCCCATGGGGAAAACAGCTTTCCTGTCGCCTCTCCAGCCTGTCCGTACGGGTCCCTGTGCCCGGGAGTGGACTGAGGTTTCTGATGAAAACAGTGCTTTCTGTGAGCTGGAAGCAGCAGGCAGACTCGAGTGGGGTGAGGAACTTCACGGCAGAGGGAGGTTTTCTGCCTGCGACCCCACAGCCCTCCTCGTGCTGTGCGCGGGGGCCAGAAGTCAGAACCCATCCCAAGGCTTTCCAAAGGCAAATTTGTAACCGAGATTTACTTGTAAACTTCTGAGCAGGTTTCCTCACGACATCCAAGTCTCGCTGGAAAATCAGGGCAGCATTTTTTCCTGCAAAACAGCAGCATGGTTCTTCGCTGTCAGAGCGAGAGGAGAGCAGAGCCCTCCCCTGGGGCTGCAGGCACGCCGCCGTGCCACCCCTTGGCTGGCATGGACGCTGGTGGGTGTTCTGCAGAGGGAAAATGAAGGAGTAAAATGCTGCGGTGAGCGAGAAGCACCGTCAGTGTGGGATGTCTTGGGACAAACCGGCAATGGAGAAGCAGCTCTGTGGGCAGCAGCCGTTGCACGCCCCGGGACTCTGGTGAGATCGTGGCCTTGGCAAAGTTCAGCCACTGGCCTGCAGAGAAAAGTCACCTTTGGTTGCCTCAGCTTCTAAATGTGAAAAGGGAATGACTGGTTCTTCTTCATGAAGCCGTGAGTCGTGGCTCTACACATATTAACCATGTTCTCAGTAGCGTTGGTGGCCAAGACACACAGCCAAAGCTTTTCATCCCTCAGGGATTTTCAGTGTGCAAGGACAGTCCCTGAAGGAGAGTGCTCCGGTCTGTGGTGGGGGTGTGGGCAGACGCAGTCTCATCCTTGCTGTGCGTGTCTTGGTTACAGGAACCTGGGGAGACCATTCTCCACCTCGCAGTGTTGCTGTCTGATCGAACCTCTTTGCATATCGTTGATTTTCTTGTCCAGAACAGGTAAGCTCACGACAGTCAGCTTGTCATGGCTAGTGCTGGTGAAAGGTGCAAGACTGATTGTCTTCTCCAAAATGCTCCCAAAAAAAAGAAATATCACCAGGACAGGCCTCCCAGCAAATGTGCCTTGGGCTGGGCTTGGGGCAACCACTCCTTGTTCCCCTGTCCCCTCTGGGCTGAGGTGTGGCGGTGGTGGTGACCACCTCTTCCCCGGCTGAGGTGGGAGGCAGGACGTGTGTGCCAGCAGTATTTGCCGTGGCTGGAGCCGGCGGCTCTTCCCAGGGGTGCTGGCATTGCCCACCCTCTGCTGCAGCGGGAGCCTGGCGAAGCGGACGGCGCGGGGGAACACGCCGCTACACTACTGCTGCTCCCACAACAAACCCGAGTGCGTCAAACTGCTGCTGAAGGCCAAAGCCAACATCACCATCAGTGAGTGGCCGCGGGACCCCCCACCCCGTGCACACACTGGGTGTCTTCTCAGCTCTTCTCTGGAGACGCCTCCTTAGCCTTGCTGCAGTGCTCAGCAGCGCTTGTCTGCGGCTGGGGAGAGGTGGGTTGGTGACAGGGTTGGGGGGGGACGCAGCCCACAGAGTGACAGCCCC